GGGGTCAGTGTTTGGAGTCCTTGGGGGCTTTGGGGAGGTAGGAGAAGTTTTGGCCTGGGACAAACATCCTACAGTGATGGTGGACTGAACTAGTGGGGGCTTGCATCTAAGCAGTTATTTTGAGTGGGAGTAGGTCTGCTTCTCTGGGACCTGTTGTCTCAGGTTTGTCTTGGCATTTTGCTTTGTGGCAAAGATCTGGAGTTTGGTTGTCATGTGAGTGGCCAGTTTGGCTTATTCCCCCTTTTCTGATTTTCCCTTGTGTGTTGTGGGTCAAACCTCTGGCCTGGGACTTAGTGGAGTTCAGTAGGGCGGGGACCTTTGACTTTGACTTTGCTGACTCTCGGAATAATTTCTGGCATCTGATTGGGTCCAGGAATCAGGGCTTTACTTTTAGTTTTAGTTTTTTGGTAGGGACAAATTGTAAGCCTACCAGTAGAATAGTACAATGAATCCCTATGGACCTATCATATATTCAATATTTATTTATTTATTTTAAAAGATTTTGTTTATTCATGAGAGACACAGAGAGAGAGGCAGAGACCTAGGCAGAGGGAGAAACAGGCTCCCTGTGGGGAGCCCAATGCAGGACTAGAGTTCCAGGACCCTGGGATCATGACCTGAGCCAAGATCAACCACTGAGCCACGCAGGAGCCCCTATATTCAACATTTATTAATTGGCAGCCAATCTTGTTCCATATACATCCCCTCAATGCTATGTGTGGATACACTTAGTTGTTACAGGATTTGACCACTACTGACATTACCACTGTTCCAAATGGCTTGGCACTGTACAACTAGAGTTCAAATCTAGGAACTTTCTAGCTTTGTCAGCTTGAGCAAGATTTATAACTGCCTCAGTTTATCATAAGTCCTAGCCTATGGGGTCTTCAAGAGGTAAAATTTGTGCAGGGATCCCTGGGTGGCGCAGCGGTTTAGCGACTGCCTTTGGCCCAGGGTGCGATCCTGGAGACCCGGGATCGAATCCCACGTCGGGCTCCCGGTGCATGGAGCCTGCTTCTCCCTCTGCCTGTGTCTCTGCCTCTCTCTCTCTCATTGTGTGCCAATCATAAATAAATTTAAAAAAATAAAAAAAATTTGTACAGTGCCTGGAATTGTGTCTGGCATACAGTAAAAGTTTAGTAAATGTTAACTGTTCCTAATAATATTACAACTTGAAGCCCAGAGGCATTAAAAAGGATCAATTCTCTATTTAATTTTTTTTTAGATTTTATTTATTTATCCATGAGAGACACACAGAGAGAGGCAGAGACACAGGCAGAGGGAGAAGCAGGTTCCATGCAGGGAGCCTGACGTGGGACTCAATCCCAGGACTCCAGAATCATGCCATGAGCCAAACACAGATGCTCAGCCTCTGAACCACCCAGGTGTCCCTCAATTCCCTATTTAATAGGAACATGTCAGGGTAGGTTGTACTCTGATGCCCACAACTGATTTTGTCCGTTAGAAGCTGTCTACATTCTTCTTTGAGGGATCTGAGGCTTTCTTTTTCTTTTTCTTTTTCCTTCAAAGGAAGGGGAGCACCCCTCCTTTAAACTTGGGGATTTCTAGCCTGGTATCTGGGGGCCAGAAGATAGTCCTGAAGCTCACAGTACTTCTTTCATCCTCACCACCTGCTTGTATACCTGCTTGCCCAGAGAGGAGTGGGGGGAGAAAGAGAAGACTTCTGGACTCCTGGAGCCCACTTTTGGGTGTGGACCACTGACCTTGTGCATTCCTACAGTGCTTTCTGAGCTCCAAACCACGGGCGAAGTTCCTTTGCTTTTTCTGACATCTTGTGTCCTGCAGTCTCCCATTTGAGACGCAGAGGCCTTGTTTATTTCTCTAGGATCCCAGGGCAGATTTAAGGTCAGGGGCCTTTACAGAGAATATTACTCCAGACCAGGTTGCCACCATTCTTCCCCCAGCACCTTTTCTCTATAAGTTTATTCCTATACATCTGTGTTCTTGATGCTTTTGGAAATGCTTTTTTAAATGTAAGTTTCTAGGGGCACCTGGATGGCTTAGTTGGTTAAGCTTATCTGACTCTTGATTTTGGCTCAGGTCATGATCCCTGGGGGTGTAAGATTGAGCTCGGCATCAGGTTCCACGCTTAGCCCAAAGTCTGCTTGAGATTTTCTCACTTTCCTTCTGCTGTTCCCTCCACTCATGTGCGCACACACACTCTCTCTCTCTCAAATAAATAAATTTTCTCTCACTTTCCCTTTGCTGTTCCCTCCACTCTCTCAGATAAATTTTAAAAATCTTAAAAAAATTAAATAAATGTAAGTTTCCAGTTGTTTCTACCAATATTTATAAGCACAGTTAATGTTTGCATGTTGACTCTTTATATCCTGCCACTTTGCTAAATTTAAATTCATTTACTTAAGGTTTTGTTTTGATATTTTGCATCCTAGGACACATTGATATAAATAAATGTGAATGTAAATAAAGACAGGTTTATTTCCCGTAGATCATCAGTTTTACTAATTTTCTATGTATCCTTCCAGTATTTTGTTTTTATGAAAAGACAAAGATTAAACACACACATACATGTTTCTGCCACCCCACCTTTCCTAAAGATGTCTTTGGTTAAACTGCAGTCTTTAATCAATATGTAGTAAGGCTTATCCACTTCTTCCTTAATGGGTTCTGGATTTTACAGTATTTTTTTTTCTTTTTTGGAGATCTGTCTTTCCCCACAGTCCTCTATATATTCTTCTATATGTTTCTAAAATGTTTATATTTTTTTGTTTCTAATCTTTAACTCTTAAACTGCTTGGAATTTATTTTTATGTAAGATGTGAGCTAAGAATCTCATTTCCAATCAGATAGCAGCTTGCCTCAATCCTTTATGAAGAGGCCATCCTTTCCTGGCTCTATTGAGATGCTGTATCTACCATACGCTAAAACCCCAAATATGCATGGACTCTATTCTCTTCCATTTACTGTCTGTTCCTGCCCTAACACCACAGTTTTATTTTTTGTGCCATTATATATTTTCCCTTTTATGATAAAATACAACACAGGAAACAGAGCCACACAAAAGAGCTATGTAGAATGAGAAGGAAGTGAACACCCAGGTCAAAAAGGAGAACTTTGTTGGTCTCCCCTTAGATGTCCCTCCATCTGTGTCATTCTGATCACAACTTTGTCCCTCCCTTCCAAAAGTAACCTTTCCCTCAGTTTCACTAAGGCCAGTCACCTAAATATGCATCTCTAAACCTTATGGTTTAGCTTTTTTATCTTAAAAAAACGTAATTATGATTTTTAAAAAAGACTTTATTTATTTATTTGAGAGGGAGAGAAAGAGAGCATGAGCAGGGGGGAGAGTCAGAGGGAGAGGGAGAAGCAGGCTCCCCACTGAGCAGGGAGCCCAACCTGGGGCTTGATCCCAGGACCCCAGGATCATGATCTGAGCTAAAGACAGATGCTTAACAGATTGGGCCACTCAGGTGCCCCCCTAATTATGATTTTTTTCAAAGTGTCTTTTATTTATTTTTTAAAAGATTTTATTTATTTATTTGAGAGAGAAAGCAAGAGAGCACCAGCAGGGAGAGGGGTGGGGGGAGAGAAGTAGACTTCCCACTGAGCAGGGAACCTGACATGGGGCTCCATCCTAGGACCCTGAGATCATGACTTGAGTTGAAACCAAGAGTTAGATGCTTAACTGACTGAGCCACTCAGGTACCTCCAAATGTTTGTATTTTTATAAGGAAATAGATTTGTCACAGTGGACTTGGCAAACAGAAAAGGACAGTGAAATGAATCTGAATGTACTGTATATAAATTGTATAACTTGCCGTGTCTGAGACACCTGTTACAATCAGTGCACTGCCAGAAGATCCTGTCCATGAGGTACTGTTGAGATGTGGAATTTTGTGACACATTGTGCTGATAATTTTTGTTTTCTGCAGATGTATAATATGAATTATACTTTCTGTATAGCCATAGATTCTCATTCCTGAGGTCTCTTGTAATGGAGTAAGAGAGATATTTATTCACCATTGGGAAGATGAGACAGTGAAAATAAGATAATTAAATTGATTTCTCTGGGAAATAACAATATCCAGATTGAAGTTGGTTTTTTACACTCATTTATATATTTTGTAAATATTTAAGTCCCTTAGATCCTGTCTTTCCTATATTTTCTTATGACAATCTACATGCATGCAGAAAACCTGAAGGGTTTGCTACACTGAATGTCCGTGTACCCACCTGTGTGGATGGATAGATGTGATGACGCCCGTACAGCAAAAATGTGAACAGTTGGGTCACATGTTAACAAGGAGATTCTCAGGTAGAAATATTTTACCTTAGATTTATACACATGTATCCACACACATATATATCCAAACACTCACACACCTAATCAGTTTACTAAAAGACAACTGGAAGTTGTCCTCTCGTGGTAGGTTTTCTGATATTAAACTGTCTTGTCCATTCCTGGGATAAAGTCTACTTGGTGATGATGTTTTACTATTTCTTTAATGTACAGCTAGATTTGGTTTCCTAATGTTTTATTTAGGACTTTTGCATCTAGTTTTATAAGTAGAATTGACTACTGGTTTTCTTTCTCTCTTTTTTAAGATTTTATTTCTTTATTCATGAGAGATACACAGAGAGAGAGGCAGAGACATAGGCAAAGGGAGCAGCAGGCTCCCAGTGGGGAGCCTGATGTGGGACTCGATCCCAGGACCCCCGGATCACACCCTTGAGCCAAAGGCAGACGCTCAACCATGGAGCCACCCAGGTGCCCTGGAATTGTGCATTTTGACAGATAAGGAAGAGTGGCAGGGGCCAGACTTGAGGGTATTCAGGCTGGAAAGGGATGAAGGAGCGAAGTCCGAGGAAGCCGTGGAGCCTGAGGCGCCACGTCGAATGAGGAGGTATGAGAGGACAGGGCCCCTGTGGAGGAGGCCCGGGCTCTGGGCCCACAGTCAAGCTCACAGCATTGTCGAATGGCATCTCCGTAGCTCAGGTCCTGGCTTCATGGAAGCAGGATGGGCTTTTACAAGTCAGACACCGAGAAGTCAGCCCAGGCAGCACAGGCAGCACAAGTTGATCTGGAGATGAGGTAACTTCCACTGGCCCTTGGGCAGAATTTCACGGCAGATGCCAGGCTGACTCTGGGGCCATGACGTTGCCTGACCCTTCTGCCCACTGAGAGCAGGGCCAGGGGACGGGTGTTGCCTCTGAAAGACAGGGGAGACACAGAGACCATGAAGGAACGGACTCAAAATCACACAGTGGAAGGTGAGAGCTGGTGGGCCTGCAGAGGCACCGGGGTGGGGGACAGCGAGCTGGGGTTTGGGGAGGATGGTTCAGTGCCCGGGGCTCCTTCCTGCCCCTCCGGCCGAGAGGAGCTGCTCTGGGGGCGTCATAGGCGCCGACCCCTCAGAGCTGCTGTTTCTTCCCCCAGGTTTGCCTTCTCCAGCTACTGACGGGCTCCAAGAAAAGGAAGGCAAGCCCCAAATGCTGGTGAGTCGGGTTAGTTTTTTTTTTTTTTTTCCCCTGAAATGCTGGCTTACTTCCTAGAGAATGAATGCATATTCTCTTTTTCTTTCTTCCTTTCTTTCTTTCTTTCTTTCTTTCTTTCTTTCTTTCTTTCTTTCTTTCTTTCTTTCTTTCTTTCTTTCTTTCTTTCTTTCTTTCTTTCTTTCTTTCTTTCTTTCTTTCTTTCTTTCTTTCTTTTTCTTTCTTTCTCCCTGATTCCATTTATTTATTTATTCATGAGAGACAGAGAGAGAGGCAGAGACATAGGCAGAGGGAGAAGCAGGCTCCCTGCGAGAAGCCTGATGTGGGACCCAATCCCAGGATCTCGGGATCACGACCTGAGCCGAATGTTTCATTTCTTGGAAAGAGGAAAGGCATTGGCTCATGCCTGTGTGTCAGAGACTGTCTTAGTCATTTGTGTGTTTTTCTTTGTTGCACAATATACCCAAGAGTATATATTAAGAGTCCAGGAAGCATTTCAATGTAAGTGGTATTTTTGAAAAACAGATCATTAAAATTTTAAGTGTACTTTTAAGTTTTACTCCATATCTGCCCTAAGGAAACTGCACACTGGACATCTTTTTACTTTTGTATTGCTGAATTTTTAAAAAATGGTTATCTAAATTCTAGTTAGTTATCATACAGTGCAATATTGGTTCCAGTAGTAGAATTCAGTGATTCATCAGTTATATACAAGTACCCTGCTTAATGCCCATCACCCATTTAGCCCATCCCCCACCCATTCTCCTCCATCAGTCCTTAGTCTGTTCTCTATAAAGAGTCTCTCTCTCTCTCTCTCTTTTAAAGATTTTAATTATTTATTCATGAGAGATACAGAGAGAAGCAGAGACACAGGCAGAGGGAGAAGCAGACTCCTCTCAGGGAGCCCAATGTGGGACTCGATTCCTGAACTCCAGGATCACACCCTGAGCCAAAAGCAGAGCTTAACCGTTGAGCAATTCAGGCATCCCAAGTCTTTCTTTTTTTAAAGATTTAATTTATATATTTATTTGAGAGAGAGCAGGGCTCCATCCCAGGACCCTGGAATCACGATCTGAGCCAAAGACAGCTGCTTAATGGACTGAGCCACCAGGTGCCCCATATAGTTAAGAATCTCTCATGGTTTGTTTCTCTTTTCTTTCCCCCACCCCATGTTCATCTGTTTTGTTTCGTAAATTCCACATATGAGTAAAATCATACGAATCACGAGAGACCTGTTGCCTTTTCTCCAGTTTGCTCATAGGGCAAGGATCCTGAGCCAGGAGGGGCAAGCTGAGAAAAAAAAAACATGCTGTTTAGTGGCCCTCTTTTCAAGCAGGAGTGTTACTGAGAGCTGATCTTGTTCCTTGCTCCAGCTCCCAAGAATTGCCAAGAGGCGCCAACGTCCTCCCCTGGGGGAGAGGCAGGTCTAAGAACTGAACCAGCAGTGTGCTCCCTCAGGTGACTGGCTTTATTTGAAACTAGCATAGGAGGTTGAAGTCTCAGCAGTGCTGCTGAAAACAATGGGGATTTTGGTGGTGAACAGTTAAGGGGAAGCTGCAGTTCCATGAGACCAACAGGCTATATGCTTTCTCTTTTTCAGGAAATTAAAATACCCAGTAGAAAGGCCAGTTGCCCTAGTGATGACAGTTAAAGTACACTTGCAGTTGAAGGAGCCCAGGTAAATGTGTGATCACAAAGCACCACTGCTTAGGTTATAAGAAGTAACTTCATAGGAATCAGAGAATTAGAATTGTAGAGTCTTTGTACTGTTCTGAGTTTCAGGAGGGATGCACATTGCGAACCTTTCATTCCTTTTATGCCTGCTTCCGTCTGTAATATCTGTGGTCAGGGGTAATATGCTGTGTGTGGTCCTCAAGGGTCGCTATCACCATCAGACCCTATGCCTGGAGCGTTTGGTGTGAAAAGCATTATCATCAAATGTGTCTCCAGTATTTTCAAGTTAAATACCTATTAAATTCCTTGTTAAAAAAAAAATCTAGGGGCACCTGGGTTGCTCAGTGGTAGAGCATCTGCCTTTGACTCAGGTTGTGATCCTGGGGTCCAGGATCACCAAGTCCTGAATCAGGCTCCTGCAGGGAGCCTGCTTCTCCCTCTGTCTATGTCTCTGCCTCTCTCTTCCTGTGTCTCTCGTGAATAAATAAATAAAATCTTTTAAAAAAATCTAAATTGTGAGCACTTAGTTCACAGAGTATTAAAAGTATGTGGATCACATCACTTTTTTTTTTTTTGGCACTTTCACCTGCTGCCGCAAATTCTGAAGATCAGGTATGTAAGCTAAGAAGTGTCCTTATTGTGCACCACTGTGATTGTAGATCATTAGCAGTTTTCTGAGGAAAAGAAGCACTTTAACCCGACCAGGTTAACATGTTCTTGTTTGTTTTATATTTGATTGAGTTGTAATAGACATATAACAAAGTATGCAGTTCAGAAATGTACCCAGACTCTCAGGAAGTGAACACAGCCATGTAACCAGTGCCCAGATCAAGGCGCAGAACACTGCCACTCGTGAGCATTACACTCCTCTAAGCCTTCTAGTCTTCCAGACGATACTCCCCAGAGGATAGTCCTCTCCTGCCTTCTAACATCACAGATTCCTTTCCTACTTTTTGCTTTCTTTTGTTGTTGTTGTTGTTTTTTAATGAATGTCATCACATAGTCTGTACCCTTTTGTGTTTGTTCAACATTGTGCCTGGGATTCATTTGTGGTAGTATTTGTGCTTCATTTTTCTTCATGGTTTGTTTTCTATATGTTTTATATGTTTTTATATGCCCCCCAATAGGCAAGGTATTCTTGAAGAACAAAGTTGGAAAATTGCATTATCAGCTATCAGGATCTCTCATGATGCCAGGGTCATTAAGACAGGGGTATTGGTATAAGGATAGACAGGTGGGCCGGTGGAGCAGAAGAGTCCAGAAATAGGCCCATACATAGACAGTGGCCTTACTCATAGTAAAAGGACTGCAGTGTGTGGAGGTAGACTTCAAAAGAAGTGACATAATTGGTTACTGGCCATGATGTGCACCTGTCATTTACATAGTGATTGGCCGACTGGAGAGCTGGCCTCAGAGTCTGCTTGAGGCCATTACTTGCAGTTAATATGCCACAGTAACCGACATTTGAACCATTTTGGTAGGGGTTTGGTGTTATTTAACTAAACTATGGCAACTGAGATTTGCACAAGGAATGCCTGTACTTAAAATGGGTGAATCTTCTAAAGCAGTGAATTTTAAATTATACCTTGATAAAGTGTCAGGTTTTAAAAGAAGATTAAATTATCTGTAAATGCCCCTTCCCTTGAGCATTACTGCCATTCCCCTGCCAACTGTTTTGTACACATGACATACTTCGCTATGTGACAAGTGAAGCATTAGGGGCTTTATTTTTAGCATTAGGGCAGGGAAGAGAGATTTTATTTTTTTAAACGATTCATTTATTTATTCATTCATGAGAGATACACAGAGAGGCAGAGACACAGGTAGAGAGAGAAACAGGCTCCTCACATGGAGCCTGATGTGGGACTCGATCCCAGGACCGGGATTACGCCCTGAGCCAAACGCAGATGCTCAATCGCTGAGCCCAGGTGTCCCTACAGAGACAGATTTTAGTAACCTGCCTCCCTTACAGATGCACATCACTGACCCCATCTTTCTTTGCAGTTGAAGATTGTTCCATTTTTTTTCCTCTAACTCCTCACCATCCCCTGATGCCCAGCACAAGCCCCCATGTACCTGTGCTCTCCTTCTCCAGCCCATCCTCTCCTCTTCCATCTCAGAGTTTAAAATAAATAAAATGAATCCTCAAGGTCACTTTCCTGAGCATTGCTTGGGGCTTGCAGATTGATTCACAGATCTTTTTGCCAGCGAAATCCCAAGGGCCAGGAATGTGTTTTTATGTGTCAGCTGTGTGCCCCTTAGATTTTAACACAAAGCCTATAGGGGCCCAAAGAACTTGATACAGAGAACTGTGTACTCTGAAAAGAACTAGGTCAACTTCTCACATATCCAGGCTCTCCAGGGCCATCAGAAAGGATCGACTCCTCACACTGGGAAAATGGATGGTGGTTTGCTGTCTATTAACCTACTGCTTGTTTATAGGTACCGGTTACACTCCGGGATGTGGCTGTGGTCTTCACGGATGCAGAATGGAAGGGACTAAGCTCTGAACAGAGGAACCTCTACAAAGAAGTGTTGCTAGAGAATTACAGGAATCTGCTCTCGTTGGGTAAGGATGTGTTATTTCCTTCATTAATTCAGTAGAGTTGTATTGGCTATCTACTTGTGCCAGAAAACATTTTAGACACTTTAGAACACATTAGTAATAAAATAGTAACCCCTGCCCATTAGGGCTTACTTTCTAGTATGTGGTGACAGACGACAAACCAAAAGCTTTAGATGCAGGGATCTCATAACACGGTATGTTAGAAAGTGATAAACGCTACAGAGTATAACATCAGGATAGAATAGAGCAGGATAAGGGAGTATTGAGTGTGAGTGGTGCCTGACTAAATTTTTCAACTGGGGATTTGAAATCAATGAGAAGGGACCATGTGACCAAAGATAGAATGTGCTAAGGGAGTTGGAACTCTGGGTGTCTGTGTTAAGAGCATTTCTGGTGCAGGGACTTGTTGTGCTAAAATGTTCCAGAAGGGATGTGCCTGTCGGGCATAAAGAACTGTAAGGTGGCCAGTGAGGTGGGAGAGAGGGGGACGGTTGGCAATGGAGAGAGTAGTGAACGTGTCTTCTGCTGCAAAAGGCACAGTTACATGTCAGAGTTTGTATGGCTTTTGGGTTTCGTAAATCATATTTTTTTTTCATTTACTTAAAAAAACTTACATTGGTTGTTTAAACCTGGATTGGTAAACACTTTCAATTAGGACATTACTCTGGATCAAGAGGTGGCCAGCTTTTTCTATAAAGGGCCACATAAATTTAGGCTTGTGGGCTATATGGTCTCTCTGTAACTGCCACAGACAACATGTAAGCGAATGAGTGGGGCTATGTTCCGATAAGACTTGATTTGTGAACCTGAATTTTGAATTCCATATAATTGTTATGTATCATGAAATATGATTATTCTTTTGACTTTTTTTCTCAACTATTTAAAAATTCTTGGTTGTGGACTATACAGAAGGAGACAGCCAGGTTTAGCTTGTGAGTTGAGTTGTCCCACTGCTTGTTCTAGCTTAGTGCTGCCCAGTAGAAATCTATGAGTCAGGTGGGCTATTTTAAATTTCCTAGTAACTGCATTCTAAAAAGCAAAAACAAATGGGTGAAATTAATTTTAATAACATTTTCTTTAACCCAGTATGTAAAAAATCTTACCATTTCAACATGTAATCAATATAGAAAAGTTAGATTTTTTTGGTACTAAGCCTTCAAAATCTGGTGTGTATTTTCTAGTGAGAGCACATCTTAATTCAGACTAGCCACCTTTCAAGTGCTCAGTAAACCCGTGTGACTCATGGCTACCACATTAGATCGTGCCGTTCTAGATATTTTATCTAGATAAAACATGTAGAGAGGAGTCACATTTTTGGAGACACACACTAGTTCCAGGCAGAAATTTCTTCAGCATTTTCCTTCAAATGGCATAGCTATTTCCCCGATATGAATTAATCACATTTTCTTCCATTTCCATCTTGTCCCTTGTGTTTTGATCTGATTCCATCAATTTTGGGTTCATCCATTTTGGTCTGGTTCTGTGGATTTTGATTTAGCCTTAGCTGGTCAGCCTAACTAGATTTTGTTTTTATTTTTAGTTTTCTCTTGTCCTATTATTCTCTTCTTCTCTGTTCGTACGTTTAATGGGTTCAAAGGAAAATGTTAAAATGACCTAGTTCAGATTATTCTCGATACTGGAAGCCTCGATTCCTTTATTTTGCTCAACACATAATATTCTACAGTTCTCCAGTCTCTCATGGGCTCTTTTGGGCTTTTCTCTTATTTCTTTCTCTTTTCTTAGGCTGATCCAGAGGACTAGTGTCACATACTTTTTTGTTGTTGTTGTTTTTCTGTGTCTCTATTCATATCCTTAAGGAATTTGTGAACTTTAATGATTTTGCCCATCACATATTACGATAAACCCTTTTTCTCTGTCACCTGTGCTTTACCTTTATATTTCTATTAGGTTATAAGACAGCGCAAGTTTATTCTTAGACTTGTCAAAAATTGAGATCATAGTGTTTTTCTTCCAAAATAAGCTTTTCTTTTTTTCTCTAATTCTTTACATACTCATGTTATGATGTCTCTTCTTCTCTACAGCTAGAAATAAGTGGGCCAATTTCCACTGAAATAATCTTTAAAGCTTTCCTAGGGGGAATTTTTGAGTTAGCTTAGACTAGATAATTCTGTGATAACAAACCCCCTCAAACTTTGGTGGCTTGTCATAGCAAATGTTCCTTTCTCACTTATATTGCCTTTTGTCTAAGTTCAGATGTAGTTCAGCTCTGTTGGTTCTGGAATTCAGACAAAAAGAACAGACTCATCTGAGTCATGAGGTTGTTAAGAAAGAGGGGAAAAGAGCAATGATGGGATCACATAGTGAATCTTTTCTTTATTTTAAAGATTTTATTTATTTATTTGAGAGAGAGATTGAATGAGCACAAGCCAGGGGACAGGCAGGGGGAGAGGAAGAGGGAGAAGCAGGCTCCCTGTTAAGTTCAGAGCCTGATGCAGGGCTTGATCCCACTACCCTGAGATCATGACCTGAGCTAAAGTCAGCCACTTAGACAACTTAGCCACCCAGGCACCCACATAGTACCTCTTAAAACTTGTTTGGAAGTGGCACTAGCTTTTCAGTCATCATTGGCCAAAGCAAATCCCATAGCTAAGTCTGATGTGCTTGTGATGGGATTGGTTTGGACATAAGGTGCTGGAATCCTGAAATCATGGGCCATGTTTTTCTTGTCTAATAGTGAATCTACAGAGCTTAATAGAGAACCTAGCACTTAGAAACTTCTAGTAAGTATTTGTGTGTGGATGGGAAACCTGAAATTCAGATTTATTTCTTTTTAAAAAATATTTTATTTATTTATTTATTTGAGAGTGAGTCAGCATGAGAGAGAGCAGAGAGCACAATAGGAGAAGGTGGGGAGAGGGGCAGAGGGAGAGGCAGCCTCCCCACTGAGCAGGGAGCCTAACATCCCAGGATCCTGAGATCATGACCTAAGCCAAAGGTGGATGCTTAATGGACTGAGCACTCAGGTGCCCCCACAATTTATTTCATATATAATCTCTGTAACCACTGATTCATACACCATTTCCTACATTTGGAAGCTCTTCAGACCAAGTGGCTTTTTACGTGGATCAGTCTTGTTTTGTAATAAGAAAAGTCATGAAGGTGATTTCATATAGGTCACAGAGACGGTTAGGTCCAAGTAGAACTGAGTAATGGACAGTTACGTGTTGATGTCAGTATCGATGGCTTAGATTATTTAGTAGAAAGGGAAGGTGAAGGTAACTGAAGCTGTTTACAGCACACAGTGCTTACTTGAAAGGTTCCTGTCTCACGTGTTTTGTTATGGATTTTGTGGAGTGCAATAGAAAATGGAATGTGCAGAAATGAATATAAAGGAATTATTGGTGAGGAACAAATTGTGTTGTATATGTATTATTAATTACAGATGTGGCATAAGACGCTCTGTCCTAGGACAAGACAGAGCTGCCCGGCGGCCCTACGTAGGGCTTCTCTAACTGAAAACTGTCTCTCTCCAGCACAACCAAAGCCAGAAATCTACCCAGAATTTGCCTCCTGCCTTCTGGCCTTCTCCTGTCAGCAATTCCTAAGCCAACATGTGCACTAGATCTTTCTGGGCTTATATGTAGAGAATCAGTTCCATCCAGCAGACTCTGGCCCCTGGCATCAGGAGCAGCAGTATCTTGCTCAGAACTGCTGGAGTGGAAATACAGAAGGTCAACAGAGGGAAGGTGGCTCCCAACCCTTGTGTGCGAGGACAGAGGAGACAGAGACCTTAGGTATATTCCTTAGCCTGCCCCCGGGAAGTCAGCAAGAACTAGAGAAGGCATAAATGGTGGTAGAAATAGAGCCCACCTCAGCTCAAAGGTGAAACCTCGTGCAAACAGACTGAGGAGCGAAAGAAGCCTCAAAATCTGGAGCAGTCAGCAGTATGGACTGTGAACCAGATTGTAGCCTGAAATCATACTTAAATACAAGGTAGAGGACCCACTTATAAGGGAAACCCTATGATTGCAGGGAGTATGGGCGAGGCTTTAAAGTTAAGTTGACCCACATCAGATGCCATTGGACACACTCAATGGAGAAGCCTTATATGTGCGGTGAGTGTGGCCGAGGCTTCAGTGAGAAGTCATCCTTCATCAGACATCAGAGGGCACATTCAGGGAAGAAACCCTATGTGTTCCTGGAATGTGGACAAGGTTTTAGTGATAAGTCAACCCTCAGAAAACACCAGAGGATGCAGTCAGGGGAGAAGTCTTATGTTTGTGGGGAGTGTGACCAAGGCTTTTGTAGTATGCCAGGTCTCAGCATACACGACTGGACACACTTGGGAGAGAAGCCTTCCTCGTGCAGTGAGTGTGGCCAAGGCTTTAGCCAAAAATGACTCCTCCTCATTCACCAGAAGATGTACTCAGGCAAGAAGCATATTTTCAGGGAGTGTGGGCGAGGCTTTAGCTGTAAATCAAATCTTATCAGAACCCAGGGGATGCAGTAAGGTGAGAAGGCTTCTTTGGGCAGAGATCTTGGGCAAGACTTTGGCAATCTATCAGACTGGGACCCAAGTGCCAGGTGAGCAGTAGTCCCTATCTGTGCATGGAGTGTGAGAAGAGCTTCAGAGACATGCTGGTCCTCACCAGGCTTCAGGAACATTCAGGAGAGGAGCCTTATCTGTGCGGAATGTGGGCCACTTGGTAGCCCCAAGTCAAGCCTCACCACCCGAGAAGGATGCACTTAGGTGGGAAGTGTGTGCAGGGGCTGCAGGGGAGGCTTTAGCAGTAAATCCACATTCACCCAACATCCTGTGGCCATCTTGGGAAGCAGCGTCATGTGTTCGGGGAGTGCTGGTGGATCTCAGCAAAAGAAGAGGCAGGCAGGCAGACAGGATAAGGAGGCGTGCTCAGGGAGGAGCTGTGTGCTTATAGGGAGTGGAGACGAGATTTGGTCAGCCTTTGTCACATAGGGTAAGGATAATCTGTATGTGGACACCCTGGGGAGCTCTGCCCAGATAACCTCTTCGGGCCAGCACCCCTGCTGCTCCACATTACTGTTCCTGGGGCTGCGC